CTGAGCCTCGCACCATAAATTGCCTTCTTAATTACCGCAGATACAGCTCTCTGCTCCTTCACCATTAGACCTGTATGTGAGTGTGTGTGTGTTCGCAGCATGTGTGTGTGTGTTCGCAGCATTGGGGGCGGCTGTTAGGGCAGCGCCAAAGTACGTGTCTCACAATATAGCAAAGGTCAACGGCACTGTTATCACTTGAACATGATCGGAGGGGGTGGCGGAATACTGCTCCCCCCTTCTACCAGCCCCTTTAAATCTGACTCGTATAATTGCCCTGTTTAATTGGAGGCCTCTTAACGACCGCTGAAGGCTCCGACCAATCAACTCGCGTGGAGGTGGTGGATGTGCTGATAGCTGCGGGGTTGATTAGGGCAGCCGGGGTCAAGTGAAGGGGGAAGACCGCGGCGTCACTGCTTTAAAATGTGGAATATATTCTGTTGCAATCGATGGACGTAAACGCTCTCCCAAGACGTACGAGAAATATTGGGAATGATCAGTGAAATAGTAATGGATGAGCAATAGATCAGGAATAGGTCTTTTGACAAATGTATAATGTAATGTATGAATGGATGGATATGGGTGGGTGATTTTGAGTAAAAGTTAATTATTTTGAGAATGAAATTAAGATGATAACACATGACTGTTTACTTTTAAATGCACTAGAAAACGGCAGCAGGTACCGGCACCTAAGTAGCTCTGAAACAGTTGTTGTTTTGTGCTTTATACATTTTATTTGTCTTGCTTTTTTTTTTTACCTAAGATGTTGCTGCAGTACAGTGTTCATGGTTTTGCACTGGTCCAGACCAGAGCAGAGAGGATTCATGGTCCGAACCAAGTGGATCACATAGAAATCCATTGGAGGAATGCTAACTCTTTGATAAATGCTAGTGAACCATATAGCATTTTACTTTGGACTAGAGCAGAGAAAATGCTCCGAACCAAGCGGCTACTCCACCTTGTGACCTGTCCTGCTCCACCCAGAGACTACTCCACATCTGCTGCTGTGATCTGAAAGGCTATTTTTTTTTTTTTTTTTTTTTTGAATGATCAATTTTATTTTTTCATATTTTTTGCTACTGGACACCTGAATTTCTCCGATGGGGATCAATAAAGTATCTATCTATCTATGACAAGCCTTTATATTTGTACTAAAAGATCCTCTATTGTAGCCTTTTTTTAAGGGTCCCAAAAGAGCTAACAGTAAGGGGTTATTTGGCCGTTTAATCACAACACGTGCGTCACCATTCTATAAACCTAAACAAAATATCAATTCTACACAAGACTGCATAAAGTCTATAGACAGTAGGGGAGTGCTCGCTGGCACACAGAAGTCTGCAGTACACATCCATAAATGTGTGTATCCTGAGGACAATACTGAAGTTTGACCGCTAGCCAATTGTATTATTATTTTTATTTTAAGGCTGCAAACAAGCTTGGGGTGGGGCTAATATGAGGACATTATAGGGTATTTTATAATTCCTGATGGGAGTAGGTTTATTTCAAAAAAGAGACTGTGAGGAAAACCTATTATGCAATAATTTACAGCCGCAATATAGCAATAAATATTAGTTATTGAGGCAGACCCAACTGCAAATGACAAATAAATAGAGTCATAAAACAGAATGTTCAATCTTGAAATAATGAATCGGGAATACTGTGTATTGTGGTTTTGTTTTATAAAGTGGATTGATTTTTACCTACACTTTTTGTTACAACAGAAAAAAATCTTGTTTAATTAACATTTTCTGAACAAATGAGACCTTGATTTGATCTTTTACATAATGGGAGCTGATTGGCTGAGTAAGGCCTGGTACTCTTTTTAGCACCGAATCGCAGATCTATAGATGCGACACAGGCAAAGATCGATGCACGAGGAAACTGACAAAACCAAAACTGTTTTGAGAGCGAGGAACTAGTTTCAGGGATTTGATGCCAGTGGTATTTTTATTGTGCTTCCAGAGTTAGAAACCCCGGCTTTAACTGTTACAACTTCAGTTATTTGGACTTCTAAATATGCAAATTCCGGCGTATTTTACTTACTTATTCACCCGGGTACAGAGAGGCCGCCGCCGATGTGTGTGGACCGCTGGAAACTGTCCAAGCATTAAAACGACTAATAGACACTCACTGAGATGTTTAAATATTCAGTGGCGCTCCGGTTCATCTTTTCAAACGCGGAGCCACACAGTTGTTGTATCTTAAACATCTTCCTCCTTCCTTTTCCCCGCCGGAAAAGTGTAGAAAGCCTTTAACAGCTCTTTTTTCCCACAGACGTAGCCGTGCTCATGTTAACGCCGCGCTAGTGTTGTGAGGAGGACTAGACAGTGGGGTCAGAGGGGTTACCGTGGCTGTCCTGCGCTCTGATAGGCTGTCACCCGGGGGTCAGGGGTCTGCGTAATTAGGCATGCGGACTCCCCCTGCGCTGGTGTTCTAACGAAGCCAGAGCTCGTTAATGCGCGAGTCTTACATTGCGACCTGCCACCGCCTTGCACACTGTTCCAGGAGATACACGCTGTAGCGCTGGGCTTTGTTCTACTCCGTGCTGTCAGCGAAAATTGTGGGAGAATCAATGAGAAAGTTTGTTTTCACTTATTTTTTTGCTCGTTTTTATGTAAACAATGTGATTACTTGGGAGGGAAAGTTTGACAGTGGACTTAAAACAGGACCAATTACGGTGATGGGGATAATAGAAAGTACGGCGCATATGTTCTCGGACTTTGGGTACGGCTAATTCCCCGGTGACAACTTATAATTTATCTTGAAAGAAAGTAGCAGTGCATTCACTTGAACTTTAGATTGAAAACTCCTATGCAAACTTATCTTCAGTAAGAGAAAGAGTAACACCTGATGTAAACCTGGACTTTCTCAAATGCATTAGAATTTAACTAAACCACCACAAGTAAGGTTTTTTATCAAAAATTATTGAACAAGGAAAGATAAAGTGTATTTGTATTGCACAATTCATACACAGGGCAACTCTAAAGTGCTTTACAAAACAAGAGAGCAAACCTCAAAATCACATAATAAGCATTAAAAAATTATTGCAATTTCAGAGAGGAAGCTTGTCTCACATTTTCAGCATAAATATGAAATTCAGACCCATGTTTTGTCTTGACTCTGGGAAACAGGAGGCCAGTCCCTGTGCTCCTTAGAGTCCCAGCAGGAGGCCAGTCCCTGTGCTCCTCAGAGTCCCTGCAGGAGGCCAGTCCCTGTGCTCCTCAGAGTCCCTGCAGGAGGCCAGTCCCTGTGCTCCTCAGAGTCCCAGCAGGAGGCCAGTCCCTGTGCTCCTCAGAGTCCCAGCAGGAGGCCAGTCCCTGTGCTTCTCAGAGTCCCTGCAGGAGGCCAGTCCCTGTGCTCCTCAGAGTCCCAGCAGGAGGCCAGTCCCTGTACTCCTCAGAGTCCCAGCAGGAGGCCAGTCCCTGTGCTCCTCAGAGTCCCAGCAGGAGGCCAGTCCCTGTGCTCCTCAGAGTTCGAGTTGGTTCATATAGCACTAACATGTCTCATGTACTTTGGTACAAACAGAGCTTCTTTAAAGTCTATTCTTTGAGCCATAGGAGACAGTGCAGAGGTCTGAGAACTGGACTAATGTGAGAAGACCTTCAAAACAAACTGTAGTTAGTTAAACACAAATTCATTATTATTACCTTTAATAATGACAGTGGGTGAATCTTAAGGACAACCAGAACCACAGTAACACAATAGTGCTACTGTAAAAAATACTTGCTCTATTCATTTATTCTAAATTAGCTGCATTCTGTCTAGTGTAAACAAAACTATAGCACACACTGAGTTCTAAAGCAGCTTCAAAGTTCTAATCATATAGGGTTTGTTTCTGTTTAAGACGACTATACTGTAATATCTGACCACTCGCTCAGCTCTAAACAGCCTGTGTTTTTTATTGGGCCCCGAACAGCAGCCGTCCATCACTCCGCATTGTGCCACTGGTTTTATACTGTTGTTAATTTAAACTGGGCACGTGTGGCGCAGCGGAGGCCGATGCCAGGACAAGCAGCTGCTCACACCAAAACACAACCTGGGCATGTTTGTTCACTGTCTGCTCCATCTGCGACTTCACTGAGGCCGATTTATTATGGACTAATATACATTCAAGACATATGCCCTCGTGTCACTGGGCGGCTGAGCTGCTGTGGCTCTGGAGGTTCACCAGAAGGTTTTTAGTGATTTGTCGCTAAATTTGTCACTAGATTTGTGTTTGTTTTGAGACGTTATCTTGAAAATCTTTACTTTTAGAATGAGAATTAATTTATTGTATCTAAAAAATAAGGACAAACGGATGGAGTAAGAGATGACAAGAATGAGTCAACAATCCCATATAGTGGTATGAGTGGGAAATGACTGTTTTGTATTAGACCTAAATCAAAAGTATACTACCTACAGGCTCACAATTAAAAAGAGAAGAAACATTCCCAAAAATAATTTATAAGGCAGAAAATGTATCTTTCTATGTTGTTTTAGTTTGAAGATCTGTCATAGTATAAGCAGTTTAAAAGAGGATGGTTTGGAGGGACATTATTGGATGGAGCGTATTTGGAAGGATGTGTCTCTAAAAGTTGGGGTGTCTAACTTTTTTTAAGTTACATTTTTTCATCCTTGTAGTGAGGAACCTTGTAAGCATTAACTGTTGAGTTTGTGAACAAATCAGACGCAATTTCTCATTCTTCTTAAATGTAAAAAAAGTTGATGTTTCATGTTTGAAGCCACTGAAACATGTCAGGTAATTAAGCAGCACTAGCTACCCTTCGTCTTGTTATAAAACATTGTATCCTTTGCAATCCTGTGAAAAAGAGCCATGTGAGTCAATACATGAGTCCATGGTTGAGTTTGAGTGATTCTCCCTACTTTGCCTTTCTCATTGAAAAGATTGATCTGATGCTATGACAAAAAACCTGTGTGCTTCGAGAGCTGGGAACTACAGTAAGATGATTTTTACTGTATGTACCTCAATAACCTTATATTTTGTCTTTTTGTTTTTCTTCCAGATTCTTCCTGAAGTTCTTCCTCAAATGCAACCAGAACTGTCTAAAGAATGCAGGAAACCCTCGAGACATGAGGAGATTCCAGGTACCAACATTTATCGCCAAATCATGTGTTGCATTTGTAAACAGTACGGGCATTACATTTTCCTCAATGATTGACTATTTTAAGGGAAACACACTAGTTACGATCGTATTTGCCATATGCACACCATAAATCTGTAAATTAAAATCTATATAAAATTAAGGCTGCCTACTCCTTGGATGGACAAATTTGCCTGCAGGCTAAGAATCATACCATAGTGTGTATCTCATTGGTTTCCGTTAAGTCACATTAAGTAGGATACAGAATTTTTTATACTTATGATTGTCTCATTTTCCCGAGTGTGTTCTAATGTGGCCATGAAAGTAGTCAGTTCTTTTACAAATTAACCCACCATTAATAAGCCTATGCTAAAACACATTTAGCTTGTTGTTTAATCAACAAAACACATACTTTTTCCACTTATTGCAAACAACCAAATAAGGACTCTGAACATAAAACAGTCTCGTGGTGGTTGTGAATGAGATCGAGTACGTGGCAATCTTTATTATTTCCTTATCAGCGCCGGGCCGACACAATCAGGAAGACCGCTCTTGAGCCGGAGTGGACAGTGTGAGCAGATACCAACGCTGATTTATTACCCCACCACGCGCGCTTTTGTCTCCGCTCCGGCCCTCTCGCTCCCCGCGACCATGTGTGGAATGTGTGTGCGCTATAGGGCTAATATTTGATAGAATAAGAGAGTCGTTCAGTGGCCATAGTGACAGTATCTGCGGCTCTAATTGTGCGGCTCTATTGTAGTGGAACCGCCAGAAGACAGCTCTGTTTCCTGGGAAGATAATTAAGGGGTGGACCCATCAGGAACTATTGAACGGAGGAGGACAGACGCGACGCATACATACACTTAAAGGGGCTAAGGGCCTAATGTGGCTCAGTCTGTTGGTAATAACCGTGATAACAGCTTGCACTTAAGGAGTTTTTCACACTTTTGTGGTTTCCACTCGTCACGCAATGATCTGCAGACCCCAAACTCTTTAATGCCTCATTTTCTCTTGCACTTTATCCACTTTTGCGTCCTCGCTTTTGAAAATATTATGGTGTAAGTGACTCGGCGTGTACATACTTAAGCAGTAAAGGAGTTGTCTTGCTCGTCTCCGAATGGCTTTAATAAGATGTATTTAAAACAAAGGCTTGCACTTATTTAACTATGGATGAATAAAATATTGTTTTTTTAGTTTTGTTATTAAAGTCGACCTTAGATTAAGAGTTAAGTGGAAAAAGTGGAGTAGGAGTGGTGTTAACAAGACTTTAATTTCTTAAATTTACCAACTTTGAGGGGATTTATACTGTTTAAAAGACACATATTATGTAAAATTGACTTTTTGCATTGTCTTTTTACCTGTAACATCATTGCGCCCTCATAAAAAACAGACCATGTACAGTAAAATAGCATTGACTTGTATTGTAATAGTTAAGTTCTCAGCAGGGGCTGTCAAACCGGTTCCAGTAAGGGCCAGTGTGGCTGCAGGTTTTCATTCCAACCAACCAGGAGCACACCAGACACCACCGGACTCACATGAGGAAATGGTTGGTTGGTTGGTTGATTTGGAATGAAAACCTACACCCTTGCTCTAGAGAATACCTGCATCTCTCTTCACCTCTATCTTTAAAACAAAAGTCTCTAAATCGCCAACTGAATTGTTGAACACGTCAGAATGTTTTAACATGGCTTTATTTTTGGCGCTTATATGTTTTGTATTTGTCATGAATGATGTATGATCTGTACTTATTATTCTGACTCCATCAAGTTCTAGTAGCTGGAGGACACTTGTTTATTGTCAAAATAGACTGGGGCGTACCGGTATGGAATCTCACGTTTAAGCTGTTAAACACCTTTTCATTTTCATATACCTGCATTACAACACATTAGAAACCTGCGGCTTATATTCAAGTGTAGCCTATATATTGGCAAAATAGATTTTCTCCTAAAATGTAGATGCAGCTTATATACAGGTGCGCTTAAAACTCCAGAAAGTACTGTAAATATTTCTCGTTCTAAAACATGAAATGGTAAAAAAATAAATGTTTAAAAGCCAAAATCAACACAAAGAATGCATAGTATTTGTTCTTTAAAGTAAAAGCAGTGTCTTGTTTTCACACGTGTTGCCAAGAAGTCTGTTAGAATACAGTGCAATATTTTGAGAACAGCCCTAATTGCCGAATGAGCGGTTACTTTTGGACCCTAAAGTGTTTGGAAAGTCTAGCTACAACTAATGATATTGTTTCAGGTGGTTGTCTCGACGACGGTGAGCGTGGAGGGGCATGTGCTCGCCGTCTCCGACAACATGTTCGTCCACAACAACTCCAAACATGGCCGCCGCGCCCGCAGACTGGACCCTGTGGAGGGGGCGCAGTCGTACCTCGAGCACGGTACGTTGTCTGAGTGTGTGTTTTTGTGTGTGTGTGTGTGTGTGTTTGTGAGTGTTTTATATATATGTGTGTGCGTGTGTGTGTGTGTACGCGGGCGTGGGGTCAGTGAAAGTGTGTGTGTGTGTATGTCTGTATGTGAGTGTTTTGTATATTGTATATATGTTTGTGTATATGTGTGTACTGTATATGTGAGTGTTTTGTGTGTGTGTGGTTGAGCATGTGTGTATACGTGTGTGCGTGGGGTCTGTGAAAGTGTGTGTGGGTACATGACTTTCTGTGTGTGTTTGTGTGTGTGTGTGTGTGTGTGCGTGGGGTCTGAGTGAGGGGCTGTTAGCAGCACGGCGGCAGATGGCTGATGGCTTAATCCTATCAGGTGATTTCTGCGCCTCCATATGGCTAATCCCACCACACACCCAGAACAAAAGTGTGTGTGTGGAACATCACTGCCATTAAGGATCTTAGAAGCAGACTGGGCAGAGCCAGAGGAGCCAGAGGAGCACTCATGTTGAGACCAATCACTGTGTTGGTGGTTTTCAGATTATAGAATATGATGTCACACACTGGATGGACACACCCATATTTGTTTAAACGTTGATAATTGGCTCATCGCTAAAACATCTCAGGGAATTAGAATATTGATTGGATTAAGAGATTCTTTATTGGTCCCACAGTGGGGAAATTTCAGTGTTACACAACACAAGATAAATGAAAAATGATAAACCATACAAAAATAACATAAAATTAAATATAGCATGAAGAAGAAACAAGTAAAACATATCTAACTTTAACATAATGAGTACAAAACAACTCTGACTTTAGAATGATAAATATCTCTACCATTGGCATAATAAGAAGAAAGTATAAAGTACTGTATATTCTAGTGCAACTAATATATAGTTGTCTGTATACATCTGTGCATGTTGAGGATATGGGACAAAGTGACTAAGTAAAGCAGCAGTGGACACAAGTTATTATTGCACAGATGAGTAAGTGGAAAGAGAAAGTGACACTCGTGTCAAGATCAAGGCTCCTGTGGACTCACCTCCTGCAGGAGGATCAGTGAGGGGCTGGTGCTATGTGTACTGGGTGCAGCTCTGACCGCCACCCCCTGACCCAGAAATGGATTAAAAAAATGGATGGATGGAAGAAGCAAGTATAAAATCTCTCACCCTCTCTATTATTTGTTAAGTTAAACCACTAAACAAGTGAACTGAGTTCATTTTTCCAATAAGTTTGAACGGCCCCGTAGTGTATTTCTGCAAAAATCTGCATAATAATGATTTGCCATTAGAATTGGCTTTAGAAAGTCATGATGTCATCTTAAAAGAGGCTTTCAAACAGATGAGGCATTGTTGCAGACGGACCAGAACTAAAGGAGGAATGCACTAAAATTAGGACTAATTCCAAACCAGGACTGAGCCAAAAAGATTTTCATCAGAAGATTCTAAACAAGTTCAATAACCTCAAATCAAGTTCAAAGCTCAAAATGTTGGAAAAAGGGTGACTTTAAATATTCTTTTGTTCATCTCAAAATCACATCCACAGTTGTCTCCTAGAATATTGTTGATTTGACTATAACAAATAAAACAATCATTGGTCAGGATTAACAAGGAAAGTTTATATGTATAGCACAGTTCATTCACAAGGCAAATACAGATTAGAGAAACAAACAGTCCAAACACAGGAAATGCAATCATAACAAACACATAGGAGCCATTGGTTCATAGGGAGCAGGATGACCAATATCCATAAAAGTCTCTGGATCCTTAGACCCTCCTGCATTGGCACAGTACAACTAAAAAACAAAAACAATGGGGAAAAAGTCAGAAACCTTGGGGAGACACACAGTGACAGAGGGATCCGCTCCAACTGATAAATAGATCCAGGACTCAGGCTGTAGAAGGAGGACTTGATGGTTGATTAGTTGTTTGAATCCAGAGGTCAGTGAATATAGGATTTTTTGACCAAAACAGAGCCTCCTCATAGAAATGTTGTTACACATTTGTATTTATTTATAACCTGCACAATCCATATTTTTACATATATCAATATAACAGACAAATAGCTTGTACCAGGTTCGAAAAGGGGTTGGAGCAAATGCTTATTGGATTCCAACCCCCATCTCACATACACTGTTTTAACAATACCATAGAGAATCCTCGTTGTGTTCTGTGGCTGGTGTGATGACATAGACGCTGTGTAATGCCGTGACCTGGACGGTGGCCAGACACTCGGGGTGTAACGTGAATATATGGAGTGAGAGTGTGAAGCTGATCCAAAACAGATTTCCCTCGCCTTCGGGAAGTTATGACAACAGCGACACATGCCAAACGTTACAGGGACACACCACTGAATGAATGACATCATCAGCGTCCATTCATACTTCAGCACTTTAACATGGAACACATCCATCTGATCCAAACGGAGTCTTTACCAGCTGCTTTGGGCGGGGAGCAGGTTCTCCCCTCTCAATCAGCGGGTAATGTTAGGGTGTAACCATAGACTGTATACAGATGGACAATTCTAACCACTAGCCCAATAAGGAAGTGCTCATGGACAAAGTATTGCTCCAACTAGCTCTGGCTCCTGTTGACTTACATGTAAAAGTAAACTACTCTAGCTCAGTAACTGTTTGTGTCACACTCACCATTGCGCACTTACGTAATCTGTGGTGCTCTCTATGATCCTGGTGTTTACATATTTGATATTGTCTGTGAATAAGGAATGACCAATAAGATGCATTCATTCGTGGGTGAAACTCTTGCTTGCCTTAGCAAATGCCTTGGTAACACGTCTGCCCCTGTTACAATGTGAAGCTAACGTTGTGGAAGAAATGCCCATAGAAGGAAATACACTTATTCTTAAGTAGTTTAATCAAGGCAAAGCAGTTGTAATCAAGATGACTGTAACCCTGAACTTGAAATCCAAATATATGTAATTGAATTTTAATAAGGGTCAATGCAAAATTTCTCTTATTCAAACTGTTCAACCATGAGTCACTCCAGGATCAGTGAGGGATAACGCTCATTCAATGCAAATCATCTTAAATGATGATTAATGAGTATACATTAAAATGTATACAAAGTCTGACAATTCAGTTATTATACTTTGATTCAATTACATTTATTCTTGTATCGTCCTTAATCACAACAGTAGTTATTTGGGAGAACGCCAACACAGATCAGAAAATGAAACAGTTCAAACTCAAGAAAGTATAAATATAAGTATAAATAGTATAAAAAGTATAAATAAAAAACACATAGAGCCTTTTGTCCATTAGAGGCAGATGACCATACAGTACATGACCAGAATGTCCATACATATTTTTGAAAGTAGTGTGTCCTGGATAATCACCTCTGTCCTGTCCTGACCATCCGGCATTTCTGTACACTTTGATATAATCCATTGAATGACTGGACATGTGTTGTATGTGCACCTCGTAACTGTATGTCTGTGTTTCCTCAAGGAGCAGCTCCCTGTATCAAAGCCATCAGCCCCAGCGAGGGTTGGACCACAGGGGGGGCCACCGTCATCATCATCGGGGACAACTTCTTCGACGGGCTGCAGGTGATCTTTGGGACCATGCTGGTGTGGAGCGAGGTGAGTCTCTCGGCACTGTTATTCCAGCTCTCTCCCTGTGTTTATGTCCTTGGAGCCGTGGAAGTAACTCAATATGAAAACACACTTCTCCTCCACTCTTAGCCGTGTGCAGTCCTCAGTGTGTGGAGTGTTAGCGGTTCATGTTTATCTAAAGGCTCCTTCACACATGCATCGCTCTGCTCGCTCCGCTCTGGGCCTCTCTCAAGGTCCTGCATGTGTTAAAACTGACATCTACATTTTTAAAGCACTTTTCTCCCACTTGGACTATATCCTGATGTGTTCTGTGATTCTCTGTGAAGTTGATGTTGATGTTGATGTAAAATATGAGTAATACAGCGAGAAGTTTAACTGGCCATGAACTTGTATGGTATAGTATGATTTAAATTTTTACAGGAACATTCTCCAAAAAAAACATAGGAGAGAGGCATTATACCAGGTTATAGCAGAAGATGCAAATGCACACATCCCTGTTTTTTTTTTTTAAATTAATTTCAGCCTGAAACGTTACTTTGTGGTCTGTAAATAAAAAGACACTTGGGAGCAACATAGTAGTAGTAAGTAAGTAGTAAGTAATCTTTATTTATATACCGCCTTTTCACTGCACATCGGAGTCTCAAAGCAGTTTACAATTGTTATTTTTGGGAGCAGGGGTGCCAGTACAGGAGGCACATGCCAGACCTATTGTACATATTTTTAGTGGTAGGGGAAACCGGAGCACCCGGAGGAAACCTACGCAGACACGGGGAGAACATGCAAACTCCACTCAGAAAGGCTCTGGTCCAACCGGGATTCGAACCCAGGACCTTCTTGCTGAGAGGCGAGAGTGCTATCCACTCAGCCACCGTGCCGCCCAACATAGCTGTGCAGATGTTTCTGTTTTCTCTTTCTGAATCCAGCGGGCTAGTTCAGGCTACTGGGATGTGCGGCCTTATTTGAAACCTTTGCGTTTATTTATTTCAAATATCCACAAGATATACAGACAATTATTCACAGAAAGAAAACCAGAAAACCCATGCATGGTTTGAAAAGGGATTGGTCGAAGCAGACATCTTAATTTAATCCAAGCCAGTCAGACACACAAAACAATACAATAATAAAAAAAAAGAAAACCCTACAATACCCTCCAACAAAACACATGACAGCCAATAACACACACACACACACAAGAAGGTTTAGGTCACAGTAACAAAATCCTGAAGATTCATTGTGTCAAATATTGTAAAAGGGAAAAAAGTATATGTCATTTTTTTGGCTTCTGCTTTTACCATCATCTGTACAACTATGACCGCCCTGACACAGTGTGTATTACAAATGTATTTTTCCATCAAATGAATCTACTGTTATCTCCTTTACGCTCCAAGCATATTCCTGAACACATGTTGCTCTTGTCAAATGCACAATTGATATACTGCTAATTCATTTGATACAACATGTGAACAACTGCCTAAAGAGCTTTACAAATCATGGATCATGTTAAAATATTTCCCTTTTGGTGATATAATGTACAGTAGATGGGAAAAGCAGCTGTACGTCTTTCTCCAAATGTGCCATAAACATTTGTAATCACATTGAGTCTCGTTTGCACTCAATCAATCTCTAAATGTCTAATTTCTCATCTCTGCTCCACTGAAGAACTTTTCCAGATGTGACCCTCCAAAGCTGTTGAAATCACTTAAACTTTCTCCAATATTCATCCCCCCACCACAAAGTTTAAATGATAAAGCCCATATGACATGTTTCAAAACCAAGGATGGATATCTATAAGATTTCCCCAGTTTTTAAAGTTTTATTTAGTTCATAATGTTGCTTTCTGGTTATCTATAAACAGAAGATGTGACTAATGCAACCTTCACAAGCATCGGAACTCCGTGACTTTCACACTGCTGCTTCACCTGCTGCGTTGATTTTCCCACTTTACCGGAGGATTGATATCTTTGACGAGACGTTGCTAATTTAAGGAGTTATCTGTCAAACCACTGCCCTGAGTTGTTTCATTCACTTATACAATGGTCAAAAAACTCATACTCTCATATCGTATTAGAACATCTCTATAGTTTGTCCTCTACACTCTCAAAAAACATATTGAAGGAAAGGGACTACTTTTTTAGCCGAAAGCCAGAAAAAAGTTCCCTAGCAACTGTTGTCATGATCTAAATGAACAAACACACACAATTGGTCAGTGCTTGTGCCTCACAGCAAAAAGGTCATGAGTCCGATTCCACCTCCAGACCTTTCTCTGTGGAGTTTACATGTTCTCGTTGTGTCTGCGTGGGTTTCCTCTGTGTGGAGTAAGAGACAAATGCCCACAACAATTGTAAAGCTCTTTGTGACTATGGTCGATGAAAGGCGCTATATAGATAAAGATTACTTACTTACATACAGATGAGAAAAGGCCTAGTTTCTCTACATTCAACAAAATTTAGAAACTCAATTCAAAATCCTGCGGGATAATAGACTTTTAAAAGTAACTTAATTAAGCATAAGTTAACTGTTTGTGCTCAGTGCCGTGTGTTACTGTGGCGAAAACCACAGGCGTGGAACCTGTAATTTAACATGAGCTTTAAACAGCATTAATCAACTGCAGTTTACCTTCGAATCCTCACTGACCGTGGTATAAAGCAATTGTTTCCATTTGTATCCCATCTCCTTTACACTATCTATCTCCAAAAACCTTTTCCTCAACTCGCGCTAAACATTTTGCACAAAGAACTTTCCCAGATGTGACTCTCAAGACCCTCCGGAGCGCATATGTTGAAATCGCTTACATTTACTCCAACAGCCCCCACCAGCACCAGCACCATTCATGCCCTATTACGCACAATCCTTCTGGGCGCTCCCATCAGCGGATCAGCAATAGGCATCTCTCTCTCTCCAATGCCCACACAGCGCAGGATCCAGTCTGTGTTTATTTGTCTGCGGATGGCTTGTGGCTTCGGTCCAAGTGCTACAGCGCGCGTTCTGCTGGCTCATAGGTGGGAGTGTGTTTACAGTGTTGAGAGGCGCACTTACAGTCACAGAGAGGCTCAGACCGGAGAGGCTCGATGGGTGGCTCCTCCGTGGACAGCAGCCAAGCAAACCTTTCATTCATTACTATTGAGCGTGAAGAGGGAAAAATGTTAGTTTGGGAGAATTAGTGATTTTAATGTTTGGCATTCGCGGCGCGTCTGGGAGCGTCAGGCCGTGAGCACGAAATTGAGACTGAAGATAGGGGTGAATATGTTGAGGCTTGGAGATATTTTAATTGTGTTTAATTGTACAGCGATTACTATTCTTGCTTGTAAATGTTACAATAGTGTTACAAAAATGCACAATTATCCATACAGTATGTGTTTCCAGATCCTGATTTGATAGGGGTCAGATTCACAAAGTTGTCATAACATTCTATTGCACTGCAACAAGCGAAGAACAATTGCTAAAATTCTGCAAGATTTTAAGCAGATCTTTATTTGGGCAAATTGACTGCCTCAAAACAAGATTTGCCAATGGGACAAGATAAATGATCTTGTATTAAAAATATACAAAAAAATGTCTGGAATGAGAAAATAAAGCAACAGTTCTTGAACTAAGACCAAATGGCTGTGTCCCATTGGCAAATCTTGTTTAAAGACAGTCAGAATGTACTCAAATTAAAAACCACTCAATTCAAGCCATTATGAGCTCATATTTTATATTTTTCGCAGTGTGTCTGAATGTCCGTTCTATGGCCTTCATGCATATGTTTTTTTAATATTGTCACCATAACTCTAGACCTTTATAATGAAGTAGTTAGAACATGCTCCTTTGGACTCTCCTGCAGGGGCTGGTGCGATGTGTACTGGGAGCAGCTCTGACTGCTCCCCCCCCCCCGACCCAGAAATGGAATAAGGGGAAGAAAATGGATGGATGGATAGTTAGAACATTGTTAATATATTAATATGTACTCTTGTTGTTATGTAAAGAGAAAAAGTAGAAGTATAATAATATGGAAGTTTGCCGATTCAATGATAACACCAATATTTAGGTTTAAATATGTACAATAATGAGCCACAATATCAAACAAAAGCGTGTTATGTCTTTATGGCTATTGGCTTTATTGCTTTTGCTTTATCGCACTTTATACCGGAAATATTGCTTCTAATTCCATATGTGGGTCAAAGTAGTATTAAAAGACAAGGCCAAATCCTCAACATTAAATATTTATCACCTTGTCCGGATCAATAGATGAATCAATGTTCTCTTTAAGTTTATATATAGGCACATATTGGATTGTAGTTACAGGAGTGGTTGATTTCTGGCGCGGGCCGTGTCATTAAACCATCCCACACTCTGTTCAGACTTTATATGTCCCTACAGGGCAATTAGCTGAAGAGCAGCGAGCGCCAGATAAAGCATGGGACACTTGAGAATACAAGAAGGAAGATTCAAAAGCAAAGTGGCCCTGATAAAATGAACACTAAAAGCAGTGGTAGTAGTACTCTGGTATCTTAATTCTGAATCTAATTGAATGTGTGGCACGCAAGGGGACATCTAGCATTATTTTAAGATTAAATTAGAATACCACTCTTACACACATTGAACGCAATTGTGAGGAGTTGCAGTGGTCTTCACCAAGCACCGGCGAACCCAAGATGTCTGCTCATTCATATCAAAGGCCTGTGCAGATTGGCGTTTGATCTCACCATGGAGGCTTAAATATTAGCAGAAGTGATGCATTTCACAGCATTAGTCTCCAGACCTGGGCAAAGTGTGTCCCGGGAGCCACATGCTGCCCGATTCACATGTCTCTGCGGCCCCCGGACCCTTTTGCTACCATGACCTTTACGCATTTATTCTGTTCTCATTAATGAACCTAACATTGTTATTAGTAATAATTTACTTTAAACAAAATGTCCACAAAGCTAACACAGGATATATGTGTATTATGTAAAAAAAAAAAAAGAAATGAATTGCCCATTTCCGGTCTAACTATTCTCATCCAGCAAATCTTATTTTCAAATGTATTCATCAGATCATAGACAAAGCATGGTCAAAAGCCGTGCAAAGTCTCAAGCGGCAAAGAAATGAATTGCCCATTTCCGGTCTAACTATTCTCATCCAGCAAATCTTATTTTCAAATGTATTCATCAGATCATAGACAAAGCATGGTCAAAAGCCGTGCAAAGTCTCAAGCTGTATAGTAGATTTCTACAACTTGTTTTGGACCCAGAACTAATATTGTTTCTCTCAGTGCACCAGATTGCTTTGGAGCTAAAAGGCAGCCCTAAAAATCACGGATTATTTCCAAATATTTGCTCACGCTTTAGTCGTGAAATGTACAGTAGATACTAAAAGCCGCGGCACGTCTCTCTGCAAATGTTACGTAAACAGAGCAGGGTCCAGGGCTGTAATCGCATTCGACGCAAAAAGCATTAAATCAAAATGAAAACAAACTGAGCTCAGAGCTGTCTTTCACCGCTCGGACAAGTGTAAATGCAACGACAGCAAATTCAAAATAAACTTTTCCACGGGAGATCGGACCGAGATCCAGGACCATATTGGGCAGATTAAGACCCAACAAAAACTTAACGCTGAGGCACCTTTTAAAATAAAATGTCCTGATATGGGTCTTTGGTCATCGAAATGTATCACATGATTTCTTGTAATCAAAAACAATAATTTGACTGCAATGAATTCCATTTAAAATACAGCCAATTTGAAAATCCAATATGGCCGTCATATTGACCTTTGATCTTTTTCAACCAAAGATTTTATGATTCTTTTTCATGGACTGTTTTCTAAAAAAATCATCGTTATTTTGTTTCCCTCCCAAAAAATAAAAATAAAAATTACTTTAGGAAACAGACGCTATACCTCAGAAACACAGTCTGTAGATCTGTTTGGACCGACTGTATATATTGTATTGCATTTTCTCTTTGTTTTATTCACTTCTTTTTAAAATATGACCAATGGAATGAGTCTGAAATAAAGATTAATAATAATAATATAATGCAGACTTTTTATTTTTTGGCTGTATTATTGTGTGTTTTTGCAGCTGATCACGCCCCACGCCATCCGGGTGCAGACGCCGCCGCGACACATCCCCGGAGTGGTGGAGGTCACTCTGTCCTACAAGTCCAAGCAGTTCTGCAAAGGCACCCCAGGACGCTTCATTTACACCGGTAAGTCCCCACATTTTATGCTTGGACTGTTTTTAAGGCAGAACTTTATTGCTCTCACAATGGAGAAATCTGGAGCCACATTTGGCACTGATAGAATCACTCAGATTGTGCAAAAAGACAGAAGTGTGTAACATGTTAAGGAATAAAAATATAGTCTGTGCAGGATATATTATGTATAATATAAAAGTGGCAACAGGAGTGCTGGTTCTTCCGTCCTAGTGCAGGTCATTAGTGACCTAAAGTGACTTATTGTACAGTCTGACAGCGGTGAGGATAAAGGCACCCTCCTTCTTACACTGAGGGTGTCTCAGTCTTCCACTGAAGGAGCTCCTCTACAGTCCTGTGCAGTGTTTGGGAGGTATTGTTCATGATGGAGGTGACTTTGACTTGCACCCTCCTGTCCCTCACCTCCTCCACAGAGTCCAGGGGGCAGCCCAGAGTGGAGTTGGCCCTCCTGACCAGCTTGTTCAGTCTACTGCTGCCCAGAGTGATAAAAGTCCTGAGTAGAGGCCTGCTTACTCCGAATAAAACAGTCAATGAGCAAAGTACAGATTTTGGTCATAGCTTTCAATCTGAAATATACATAGCGCAAGTTTTGTATGCATTTTGTAGACTTTCTTCACAGTATAACACAGTGAGACCTTGGACATTTAAGGTATTTTTGTACTTGGTCTAATTGTAATCTTTGTCTCTTTTGCGACAAAAAGTTTTAGGGAATTATGGAAAGATGGGTAAAAATGAATAAGGCCTATGGATCTAGTGTGTGGTGTTGTATCATGTGGCATAGCTCTAGTATTTGTTCGATTGTCTCACAACATTATACAAAACCTTTTACATTGTTGACCAATTTGTACACAACATTGTAATTCCATTATCAGAAGAGAAAGAGCAGACACTGAGGGTGCATTCCTGTCCTTTCTGGAGATTTTCATTTGTCGTACGTAACAAATGTTTTGCTTCAGACCTTTGTAAGTCTCCCAGTGCTTTCGTGAACATGTGACTGCATATTAAACAGCCCTTCTACTGTATATTTCTATGTATATGTATAGATATATGTCTGTGCTTGGATTATTGGGCCTCTCTCGGTTCAGTCCCGGTCCAGACACTGTTGGACTAATGACTGTGGATTAGTCAAACATTAACGGCCCTGCACTCGTTTACAATGTGGCCCTAATCAGACTCTCATTACAGGCACTACAATTAGACAGTCTGCTTGTTATGCAGCGCTCCATACTGAAACTATTAGTGAAATCAGCCAGAACGCTCAGTTTACCAACACACACCATTGGAACCACTTACACAGTGACGGAGAGGCTGCAATGGAGGCCAATCATACAACAGTACAGATCGTGTAAACTCATGTGTGTGTTTATTAATGTACATATAAACACACACACATATTGTACTTATTATTGTATGTATCGTGTATTTATTCTCTTGGTTCGGTGATGTTGAGGGGTTAGAGGTATTGAAGTGGTGGCGACCTGAGCGCCTGATCCCGAGTTCAGAGAGGGGTCCTATGGGAAATCTCCCCTTGTGTCGGTCTCTAACCTGCGCTGTTGATGTGAGTGTATTTAATGGTTCATTGACGCCACTCAAGTGAACACCGGATGATTGTCTGTTTTTGGTCAATTTTAGTGTAAAATGATGATGTTAAGGGAATAATGAAAAGGAAAGAAAAAACAATGTACAATACATACAAAAAATTAAAATTAAAATACAGTAAATGGCCAGCACGCGGTTAGTACTCTCGCTTCTCAGCAAAATTATCCTGGGTTTGAATCCCAGTCAGAATGGGGCCCTCTCTGATGTGCATGTTCTTCCTGTGACTGCACAGGGTTCCTCCAGGTGCTCCTGTTTCCCCAACCACTAATAAAGTACAATAGGTACAGGTTGCACTAGTGGCATTGCAGGTTGGTTAAACTCCAGAGGACACATTTCCCTACGATGACAATAAAGTATACCTTAACCTTAAAACCTGAGTGATAATCTGTTACCCCATTAGCTCACTAATGTGTATTTAGTCAATTTGAAATTTGAATTTTTATCTAAAACAGGAAACTTAAGTCCACACACACTGAGACTTTATGCAATGTCAGTGGAAACATCAAAGGCCCCGCAAATCAAGTTACTGATCAGGTGATTTTTATTTTCCCTTTGAGCAAAAATGCTTGCCCTACAACTATCACAGAATTCGAAAATAAAATCATTGAACAAAGTAAGTTGTGGTCATTGCAGTGGGGGTCAGTGGAGACGGGGAGGACCTGGTATGAATCGCTCTCAAAACAGCTTTGATTGTATAAATGACCAAATAAAAAATAAAAAACTCAATAAGATTCACCTCCCATAAATAATCCAGTTGACAAAGCCTAAAAAATTCTTCACATACAATAACAACAGTCCCATTGGAATCCTCTCCTGGATCGACAGCTGCGTTGGAGGAGTTCTGTTACACTGTTACCCTGAATGAAGAGCAGTCTGAGTCCAAACACCAGGGCGTCTGTAGTAACCGTATGTGCTGGAGGTGATGTGATGTCTGCCTCTCTATCGATCCTGTTTTAACACGGCTCCATCACTCCGCAGTCGCCATGACGTCACCGTGAAAGGAAAGACACGTTTACGGCATCGGATATTAACTGGAGATATAGAGGGTTTAGTGCGGATCAATAGATATCATAAAATCAGCTGTGAATAAATCTTACGGCTTCATCTGGAGGCAATGTTTATATTGAATTTAAATGTACTCTATTACTTGCACATATTATGCTTATTGTACTAATTTTTGTCCTTACACAAGATCTGGACAATATACTGTATGTACTTTGGAATTTCATGTTTTATAATGTTGAATCATTTGTTAGACCCTTGTGAGGCCGTCTAACTGAAAGGACAGTGGTAATGATACAGTCACTCAACAACACTGGTCATCTGCTCCTTATCGACCAATTTGAAATTTTATTTCTTGTGTTTTAACTGTTAGATTCTCTGATCTGTGTTGGCGAATTCAACGGTATCAAACCTTCTGAAAAACTTCTGTTGGGATATAGGGCTATACAAGAATACATTGAATTGAATTGACATTTTCATTTTAATTTACATGTGATAACAGGTCACATGTATGAATCATATTTGAACATTTCTGAACAACATTTTTAAGTGGAGTTATTCTTTATTTAATCATACTGTATTGCATTGGTATAGCGATTATGCACACATGTTAGGAATAAGGACTGATGTCATGTCTTTGGCCTAGAATATATTTGCCATAATCCGTGTTCATTGCTCCATTGTTATAGTTGATAATCAAATTGTCATGGCTCGTTAAATGGTTGATTTGTGGCAATTACACAGCACTCAGAATTAATCAAATTATATATTTCACGTCGATTAGAAACACGTATTATGCTGGTGATCGACAACGTTTATTAGATTTTAAAGCCAGTTTTATTGCTCTTCACGTATCAAATGTTGCTTTACATTTTCGCATCTGAATATGATGTCACAGCGTGTAGCACATACAGGATCCTTGCACTTCCTTTAATGGAAAAAACATGATTGTTATAATATTCCTGCGTGATGGGGCTGCAACAATTGCTATAAAATCATGGATTGTCAATTGAGAAAGATTTTCCCGTTTGAAACCACAGTAGCCAAAAATAGACTTATATTAAAGGAAGATTTTCTTTTCATTATGAAGACATATGGACTCGTGGCCTTGCCTCTTCACAAACCTGATTTATACTGGTCCTAAAGGGGAGCCTGCTCCTGTTTTGTTGATTAATTAATACACTGTGTCTGTGTCTAAGTCCTGTTTAAGTAACAAAGCAGACCACAACATGCTGTCTTTACCTTATTAGAAATCCTTTTATTGTTTACATGAGAGCTGCTTAAGAGAGGGCTTTCTTTTTCACTGAAAATTCTGATCTTAAGATGTGACAAAGGCTAAAATTACATGCATGTGAAAACTAGTGATAGAACCAAGAGCGAGGAACTATAGTTACAGGGATTGTATTACATGGTTAATTTTTGTGGTTTCCCAGTCAGGTACTGATTTTCCAGCCACATAAAGTTGCCTACTGTCACTTTAAAAGACTGAATCCACAATAATTAATCTACTTTCTGAAACATTATCTTTCCTGTATTTGTTCATTTCTGTCTGGACTAAGCTGGTCAAACCCTGAGGCTATAAGCTCTCTCATTATTGGCTCGTCTGGCCTCTTACTCCGTCTGCGATTGGCCGGAGGTGACCCAGCGTGACCCTCTGATTGGGTGATGACTTCAACGTGTGACCCGGCGAGCCAGATCCGTTACAGCGGTTTCACGACCCTGCCTCGAGTAACTAAAAGATTGCGCAGCTCCGATCTGATTGGTCGATATGATTTCTTCAATACTTTCGCATGCTCTGCCTCTGGGTTAAACGCCAAAGCAATTAAACACGTCCAAACGCACTCACACAAGCTGCCAAACTCACAATTTCACAAAGACACACACTTGAATGGGGTCAGGCTGTACACAAGTTACCACACAGAGGTTCAAACAAGGCGTCGAGTTGAAAGTCATAATAAATCAGAGGGAAAAGCAGAGGCCTGTGCAGCAGATGGCCGCTCCCACACAAACTAATGTAATGTGACTGCACTGTCCTGTAGGATTCTGTGTCGCATTTGCCGGTGGGAATATTCAACATTTGACGTTACCATTAACTTTTCTTTGGATACTAGTGAGAGAAGAAAAAGTCCCAGTTGTAAATTCAATCAAATATATTCTTGTATTGCCCTAAATGACAACTGTAGTTATCTCTGAGGACTTTACAAATCCGCCCAAACAGATCAGAGAATCAAACAGTTCAAGAAATGAACTGTTTGGTCCTTTGGGGCAGATGACCAATGTCCATTAGTGTTTATTAATTATCCATAAAAGTTGTTAAGTGTTGAGTGTCTTTTTAGTTAGACCTTCACAAGGCTCCAACAGGTGTACCTTCAGAGACATGACATTTGTAATGT